TCAAGAAAATTGCATGGATATAGGTATGCGCTTAATCATAAATCGATCCTAATCAAATCTTACATTTCAATGATTTACAGATGAAATTATGTCAAATAAGTTAGTTAAGTAAATTACGATTATTTAAAAAAATGCATACCTAATTGATTGGTGACGTACCATAAGCCGCCTGATTAGAAGTGCATGTTAATTGTTATTAAATAACACATAAGCGATGACCGAATAAATATTTCGAAAGTAAATATTTATCCGAAATCTGAATACGTCGTGACACGTATATCTACGAACTACAGCACAAACTCACAAACCTACTCTGATATTGTGAAACGCCGAAACCCCGTCGTACTACAGATGTGCAATCAAGTCGAACCAACGGCACCTATCAACTACCGACTGTGCATTATAATACTAACGAGTTTAGAGCTAATAGAAACTGCAGTGCCCGCATACCTATGGTAGGCTATAAGATACCTACCGAAGTTGAATCTTTGTGATAGTGTGGAATGAGCTTGTGGTGGGGAAAATATAAATACGTAGTACGTACTAAGTATATGTTTGGGTATCTCAATATTATCTCATACAATATTGGTTTGTTGCAACATCACGAGACGAACAGCAGGTCATATCGTAAGAACTTAAAATTATTTTATAGGTTTACTATAATACTATAGTCTATAATATGTATATGTTATTAGTTTATTACTTTGTTRGTATTAAATTGTTAATATAGCCAATGACGGAACAAAATCAATTTTGTTATAATATATTCCGTAAGTCATCGTTACACCTTACATATGTGTAAAACCATAAGCTAGTTTCTTCGGAGGACTATAATATTATTAAATAAACTTAAAACTAAGGGTCTGTCGAATTTAGATTATAGTGAACTCGGACTACATTTTTTTTCTATAAAATTATTTTAAATTATATAAAACTTCTACGAGTTTACCATATATCAAATTTTAATTATAATAGTAACAAAACAAATTTAGTATAAAAATATAACAGTGTCTAAATCTTAAAAAAAATTTTTGTAACTAACGGCTTTAACACAATAAAATTTAAAATAAATACTCCTCATATTTATAGGTCTACTCATAAATCAGTAAAATACTAATGGGTAATATTAAACATTTAAGTAAGTATACTTGTAATGTATGATGGACAGATCTAAAAATACACACAAATTAATATCGAAAAAACATTGAAAACCCAACCTAAATCTCGTTCGTATGAACGTAAATATATTATCAGAGAGCCATCAATCGTTCAAACAAAATCTTACTATTACCTATTTCAAATTACAATTCAACTCTTTAAGTTAAAATCCATTTTAAATCCTCTTATATTCCTTCTCTATCGCTGTTCTATCAAGTCTAATAAAAACCAAAAATTAATTAATATTRCATCAAATTCTCTTCCTAACATGCGGTGCGTGACCTACCGRTTWATTTATTTCAGCCAAATCAATTAAATAATWACAATAAATTAATTAATAGAAGTTGATCCGTATACCAATTTAGCTGTAAGCTCGTCCTGGTTTAGGTACGGAGTTAATGGATGTTATATTTTTTTTTAGTAAAATACTTTTACAAATAAAAATAACATAGTAGATATTTTAGAAACAAATTAATATCAGTGTTACATATTATATGGATAGGATATTATGTTTAAACATAATATTATTAATTTTTTATAATATTGTATTAATAGGTACACACATCATYWTAACGTTTACTAATAAATTATTTGTTGCCTGAGCAGAACGATGAATGTTTATTGATTTTACAATGATGTAAGTGTGTGTACTTTTTTTTCTTTGTGTCTGTTTTACTTTTTGGATAGTAAAAGTGATTCCATTTTATTCAACAGTATCTTTTCTGATATAACAGTGAATCTAGTTGATACTTTGAGGCTCAAAAACGAGTAAAAATTAACAATAATTAATGCACCAGGAAGAACAAACAAAAAAATTAGGAAAAACTAAAATTTGTATGCAAAATTGATTTTCAACAAAATCATTTAGGTTATTGCGTTATTGGTATACTTTAAACATTTTCTAGATACCCACATAAAATTTTCACTGAATGCTTATAATCGCATTTTCTATACACAATACAATATTTTCAAAATATTTTGCCTCACATTCTCACACTATTAATAATAATAAGGATAATAATTATTATAAAATTGGAAGTAATAAAATAATATTYATTGCCAAAATTATTTTCACATGGACAATAATAATTTGGGTATTTATAAATCGTTAATTAAACACAACTGCGATAAATAACCGGTTTTGACTTCTGGTGCGGTGCGGTACCACTGCTTGGGTACGGTATGATGGTGTAGATACGGTTTTAGACGCTGCTGTAGTAGCTACGAGAATAGATTCGACGGTTGTAACTTGTAAATATGAATCAAAATGTCGAAAAGCATGTATAACAGCTCTCATTCTAACTACAAGAAACGTAATAACACCAAATGTCACCAAAATAAAGATTATAATGTTATCTGTGTTTATACGTTGGATTTGGATCTAATAGATAAGTCAACTAGGTCAGTTTATATGCATTCAAATCACAAAAAACTTAATCCGTACCACACAGTTAATAAAAATGAATGTATATAGATATAAAAAAACAACGTAAAAACAAAAGTATTTGTAATCATCTKTAAGTTTGCAAAATTTAATAATTGTACGACTTCTGTGAACTAAATGAGAGTTATTCTACCAAAACATGTATTTGAACGGAAAATACGGGTGTGTTTACGTGCTCTCAATATGCATATTATAATGTAGGTATTAATGTCTTGTTCTATTTGTGCCTCTCCAATATACAGTTTTGCTGTATTTTAGAATACTGAATTACACGGTGCCTATAGTGTCATGTAATTTGTTTTATAATTGATTTATTAGAAACCGAATTTTGAAGAAATTTAATTTTTCCTCATTTATTGTTTATATTATATTATGATGTATAATATGTTCTGGCCATTTCAGACTAAAATCTAATATCACTCCTAAACATTTGAACCATTTAAATTTGCTTACAACTGCATTATCTATATTTAATTTAAAAATAATAGTGGTGGGGGGGGGCTATTCTGATTAAAATTCATGATTAAAAAGACTAAAATTGAAATCACCTTTGATACCAATACTAAAAATGTATATATGAATACCAAAATATTAAACATATTCTATGTATTGTACTATTATTGTTACTCTTTTATTACAAAAATGTCATCAATACCAGTTTTGTATTTGTTTTAGACTTCAAGCACCTATGTATTTATTTTGTTTTATATTAGATATATCAAAATTTCCCTAACTTTTTTGTCTCGCCGCGCCCTTTTTTGAATAAGAGGTTTACCTGGTATCCCTCATAAAAAATAATAAAAACCAGAACAATTTGTAATATATACTATGAAAATATTTATTTAATTGTAATTATACATGTGTTATAAGACATTAGTTATATTAAGATTTAGGTATATATTAAATTAATGGGTAGTATGATAACGTGCTACGTCAGTGCGGCGCCCCTGTAAAGACACTACGGCGCACCAGGGCGCCTCAGTGCACAGTTTGGGAATTTAT